TTCCCCTTAGTGTCATTTACCCAAGAGCAAACCCAGATTTGAACTCTCCACTTAACTCTTCCTGTGTCTTCTGCCCTCCATCTGTCAAATACGAGTCTGAGTCTGTGCCTAATTGGGCTAAATTATGACTCTATCCTGCATCTCTGTCTGTTCCTTTGCATGTCTGTTCCTAACAAAGAGCTATGCTCTCTCTTTTATGGAACAATACAGAAAATGTCACCTGGGAAAGGAATGAGGAATCCTTTACAGAAATCTTTAACAACATTTTAAGTTGCCGACGCCAACTGACCCCAATTGACTCAAATAACAAACAGTGCTATAAACCTCTTTGCTTATCAGCAATACCCAAATGTTGTGTTTAGCATTTATGGCAGATATTCATCTTATAAGATTGTTCTCCATTGCTATTTTTGTTATTTCCAGCAAATGGTTATCAGAATACACACGGATTACTCTGGGTGAAGTATATGAAACAGCACATAATTTAAGATTACAGCTTTGCATGAACTTAGGTTATAAAAGTTGATTCTATGGGACATCCAAGACAGGTAAGATTGTCTATTACATTGTTCTCTTATAGGCATGTTAAACAAACAGGTTGAGGACACAGTAGGATGGCGGTCTTGACTCTTTAGTGACCCTAGTGTGTGTTAGTAACTCAGCTGTGAACTCCCCTAAAAGCCCCAGTCTCTTAGAAATTAAGAGACATAATGCGTTGATATACATGACCATTTAGTTGAACTAAATATCACCATACAGTTATTAACTTATGTCATTTTTATGGCAGGGGCCAGGCTATGACATCTATCTGGACTGCAGGTACTCAGAACCCCTGCCTTACACCTGAAATTTCTGTTTCACCTTCCTGTTCACCATTTTGTTTTTCTAGTAATCCAACTCCTACTCTTCTCCAGGTCCATTCTACCCATTGGTCATCTCTTAACCATCAACGAGAAACACATCTTCATAATTACTAATGTCTTCCTAATCCCATTATTTCGTCCTTAAACAGAGACTAGAATGTAGTTCAGCTGGTAGAGTACTTGCTCAACTGGAATGAATTTTCCTAGGAAGATATGAACACATCTATTCACCCCAGAGAGGACACTAGTGGTAGACTAGATAAACAAGTCCTTCCAATTCCAGCTTGCTGAAACAATGAGGCACTTGGAGTTACTTACAGAACCATGAGTGAGGGGTTACATAGAGGAGCATGAGTAATTCAAAATCACTTGTATCACAAAAACAAACATACCACCCAGTCATCACAGGTAATGGCTCTCAAAAGCTGTATCAGTTAGCTTCTACCCTAATATACCATGGCACCCCTCAAAGTCACCTGTAGCCATGGGAAAGGATCTGGCAGAAAGGAGTGAATGGCTGGCATCTTAGGTAAGAGTTTGATTACCCTTCCCACTTTCATTTTTATAGAGGATGCTCACAGCCTGTTATTACCATAGACTTAACTGTTGCTGTACTCCCTTGTTAATAACATCTATTTCATTTTTACTTTTTTGTAAAATATTTTTATTATTGCATGATGCTTCCATAATGTAAAATGAATTTTAGCCATTCTTACCCCTAACTCTGTCTCTCATCTCCTTTCATATAACTGAACCCTTCCATCCCCCAAATTAAGTCCACATCCCATCTTTACTTGTTTCATTGCCATAACTACAGGACCAAGGCATGCTGTGGGTCACAACAGCAATCAGCTCCGTGATGCCGATGGTCATTGTATTAGTTATATTTTTGTCACTGTGACAAAACACCATGCCCAACATGGCTTGTGAAAGAAAGAGTTTATTTTGGCTTTTGATTTGAGAGGGAGGAACTATAATGGAATAGAAGCATGCAGGTGGAGCAGGATGCTATGACATCATTTCTTTAATTACATGTAGGAAGCAGATAAAGCAGACTGGGTGAGTGGCAATGCTCTACATTCTCAAAGCCTATCCCCACTATCTTAGTTTCTTCAGCAAGGCTGAACCTGCTAAAAGTTCTAAAATTCTCAAACACCACTACCAACTTGGGACCCAGTGTTCAAATATGTGACCTTATGGGGGAAACTCCACATTCCACATTCCAATCACCACAGTCATGTTATGCCTAAAGTTAATTTTACTACAACACTTTACTCCTTTCCCTGGCTCTTAAGTTTTGTCTGCCTTCTATTCTGCATAATGTTTCCTTCACCTTAGAGGAGGTGATCTATGTCTGATTCTTTTCTTAAAATTTGGCCACAACAATAATCACTTATTTTTAGTAGTTTTACCAGTGATAGATGTCCAATCACTAGAAATGAAAATTTCATTGAACAAAGGAAGGCAACAGTAGTAATATACAGACATAGACACAATTGCTTAGAAGGCACTGATAGGCATATCACATTTACTTAACAAAACAATTGAAGCAGGTCCTTCATAGGGTCTATCACTTCCTAGCCAAGGTTTCTGCCTTAGATAGAAGTATAAATATGGGTTCCCTATTGTACAGAGAGACTTTAATACAATTGGAAAGTAGTTGGCTGTACCAATAACATTCATGCCACTGTTACACCACAAGTACATCTTGCCTGTTTTGCTGATAGGTAACCATTGACAACCAATCTACAACTCTCTTTATAGCATCTTCCCATACTATATAAATGCTAGCCAATAAGAAGTAAATTTTTACCTCAGTCTCAGTTTGATTTCTCCATAAACAGAGCATGCAATGTCTTACTAGCTAGTTCGCACAGGCCACCCTTTTGAAGCATAGAGGACTTGGTCTTGGGACTCAGCAGCTAAGGAGATACGTTTTAAAATGTTATCAAGGTCCAATATAGATTTAGCTTTCTCTTATACACAGCCATTCCCATGAACCATGATTTATCCATTAGCCACAGTTGGTGGCTGAAAACCCTTTGGGATAATTTCTACCTTTATGGGCTCCCACTTCCTTCAACCACATAAGACACCTTCACACACTTGACGATGAGGCAAAACTGAGCAATGCCATATTCAGGATGTGTCTCAGCAACACTTATACCCCCACCACACTAGTCTGCATAGGAGGCACCTCTATGAGAGAATAATTGCTCACCCATAGTATAAGCTTAGTTTTCTTTAACTAAAAGAATGTATCTCCATATTTACCTACTATTTCCCATTATTTCAAGTACTTTAGGGAGTTGCCATGAATTAAAACATTACTAGCTTCCCAAATCCACCCATCCCCAATACCAGTCCTGAAATCTCTGCTATATTAATCTTTCTTAACTTACCTGTGAAAACAATATTATCAAGTTCATTGAACTGGATTATCAAGCCTCACTTCTATCATGCTCACTTCTCTTACTATAAATTCTACATCATTTTCCCAGTATCAGCCTATCAGTATGCACCGCCATACTTAGCATAGGACCCTGCTCCATATGTGAGCTACTTTGAGGGATTACAATATGTTTACTGGTCTGTCAGCAATTTGGGAGACATCCTTGTACTTCCTCTACAGACCACATTCATCAGGGAGGTATGCCACTTCATAAGACATAGAGAAAGACAGTTCTTACAGGATTTTCTTCACAGACAATCTATCCTGGCTTTCCCTCTAGACAGACAACTTAGGTGTGTGTTTCTTCCTCCATAAGAAAAAATCATGCAACTGTTGACCCAGTATGAAGGCATGCCATTCTGTACTACATGGGAAAAGATACTGGGGCTGCACCTGTAAGTGGTCCTCTCTTAGATAGCTCAACTACAGTTGCTTGACTTTTCACTCATAGTGAAGGCCATGCACCTGGTCCTTCTAAATTCCTATTTGGTTCTATCATATTCCTGTTTGGGCATCAAGTTGTTGTGTGAATATTCCTGGGGAGACGTAAGTCTGTTCACTCCAGATAGGACATCAACAGTAGAACAAAGTAATGAGTCCATTCAAGTCCAGCTTGGGGGAAGCCATGAACTTACAGGGGCTACTTAGAGGACCATGGGGGACACATCCCTCAGAAGCCCCATGCAGCATAGCAATGGCTTCACGAAAGTTTAAATTCTGTTATCTGTCAACCCATTTCCTATGTTCTCTAGCACATTCAAGTAACACATGCAAGCAGGCAGTAAAGAGTTGGATGGCTGGAATCTAGGTAATGCTCCTGTGACCCTCCCCTGTTTTCTTCTGTGAGAGAACAGTAATAGTCCTGTTAAAATGACCATCCATCTAGGTACTGCTGTGTGGTTTCACTTACTCCATTGCCATGACTACTAGACCAAGGTATTTTGTAGGTCACCATGGCAATCTCTGCTACATGATGATAGCAGCCATGTTAAACTTGTAGGAAATCATGTCACTATTACACCTGTTCTAAGTGCTGGACACCATACGATATGTTGGAAGACCCAGAAATGTATAAATATGACTTCTAACTTAAAGTTAGTTTTCTGTTAGAAAAAATGATGAAAAAAAAAACAAAACACTTCAGTCTTCTGCCAGGGCAGAGAAGGGGTACTTTTACAGTAATCAAATTTTAAGTTTGCATTATGGCTACATAACAGAATATAATTACAGCTATTTATTTTCAAAGTTATAGTATATCTAAGTAATCCATTCAAAGATTTCACAAGGAGTACGGAATTCAAACTATTATGGTGTTTTGTATTTAAATTCCCTCAGATCTTTCTTTTTATAATATATTTTTTATTTTTTCAGATTATAGTTACTTCATTTCTTCCCTTCTCTTCCATTCCTCCAACATTTCACACGTCTGCATGCTCCTTGCCTCTCTTTCAAATTCATGGAGTCTTTTTTTTAAAAATTGTTGTTACATAGTAAAACCAAAACTATTTCTAACCTAACCGAATGGATTAATGTAACATCTTTACTATATTAAGAATTTAAATTTGTCAAATCAAAATGCAATAAAGAAGAAAGGGTGGATGCCTAAGAACAAATGTAAAAAGATTTATAACTGAATGTTTACTGGAGGGAAGTCAGCAGAAGTGGGAAGGGTTAAAATGCATTACCTCGAGGTGTAAGAAGTAATGCAGTTAGACCATAGGTGGGATCATGCTCTAAGGCACCTAGAAAAAAAAATCAAATATTTTAAAACGGCTTTAGCATGTACTTTCCTTTCCAAACACAAACAACAGCACCTTCCTAGTTAGGGAGAAGAAAGTCAGACAATGAAGCAATTACAGGGAAAATAGAGCAGTGAGTTTGTTTAAGGCAGACAAACAACATTGTAAATGTACTTGTGTTTAACTGGGGCAGTATGAACTCAAGCATGGAAAAGAAAAGACCAGGAAGATGCCCCTACTCTGCAGTGATACTGTGACACTTTATTTTGCTCTGGTACACGCAATTTCTCACCCACAGTCCTACTTGAGATATTTATAGCAAAAATAGCCACTGATGTCTCATTTCTATCACTTTACCTTTTATCCTCCCTATCCCTATCCCGGCAGTGAATAAAGCATATATGCACTGCAGCCTTTTGCTTAGAGTAACCTTGGTCGATAACACTATCTCAAATTTCTGATAGAGTTTTGCTGTCTTTTGCACTTAGGGTCATCTTGATTCCCATTGCAGGGACACAACACCGATTTCATAACTGGTCCAATAGGCTAACCTCACTGAGGAGAAGATCAGGATGCCCTTATGTACAGGAAAACCAGATACCTGTGTCCCCGGACCAGCAGCAGCACAGCCAGAGCCAGAGGCCCAACTCCATGTTGCTACCTGTAGCAACCTGAGTAGTTCTTGCAGACACCTCCGCCCAGCTGAGGCCAATGTTCTTGCCTGTGTTACAGGAAAGAATGTCAGCGTGAGTCACTATGAAACAAAGCAGGAGTTTATCAAGATACTCTTTTAATGTAGAATTAGGAACAGCATTAACAGAAAGCCACTCAGAGAAAAGGATTGTCCATACCCAAGTGTGCTCCTGGGCTTCTCAATGGAGTCATGATAAGTGTGTTGACAATGCATTATATAAGATTTGGCAGCTTCTAAAGTCACATACCAGTGAATTGCTAAGGTGATTTGTTTTCTTTTGTTAGATTTGTTTCTTCTTTTTTGGTAAATGTGATCTTGTCACCCATAGATGATGAGAATAAAGGGAATCTTTGGCCACAGGGGATTAAAGACTTACATTTTTACTGTAAACAAAGCTTATGGTCTTACTGGTCTTACGTATGAGATTCCCAGAAAATGGCAGGTTCACAGGTGAGGAAGGAGGGAATGCCATGTGCATTTAGGCCTTAGGGATGGATAATTTTAATATTTGTGTTCGAGAGAGATCTATATAAAAAGAATCTTGTTTTCATGAAGACAATATTCACAGAAAAAAAAAATGTGTTAATCGTGCTGGAATTCTTGACTCTTCACTGAGACTTCAACCAGACCTCAGAGTGAGGGGTTTCTTCCCATCCCCATGTTCCTTGAATTTTCCCTGTCCTACTCTGCCCCAACAAGAACACTAACCTACCCCTCAAAGCTTCAAACTACTCTGCTCCATCACTAGAGTGACCCAGTTCAGTTACTTACTCTGTGTTTGCCTCTAGCACACTGCCTGAGGCAGGTGACATGTTTCCTATTTCAAAGTAGCCTATAAGTTTACTGATATAAACACCATAGATATCCCAGGCCTGACAGATATCATAGATATCTTTGTGCAAACTATATTCTCTTCCTGTGACTCAGTTTCCCCAACTGGAAAGAAAGGCTGTTGTGAGTCTTTATTTGTCCTTCTGCTGCTCCCAAATCATAATACAGAGACTTACTATGAATTATGAAAGCTCAGCTGATAGCTTAGGCTTGTTTCTAACTAGCTCTTATAACTTAAATTAACCCATTTCTAATAAATTACATGCTGCCACATGGCTCATGGGTTGTTACCTCATCTCCTACATGTCATGCTTCTTCTAAGTTTCCTTGAGACACTGCCTATCTTCTTCCCAGCATTCTCTGTGCCTGAAAATCTTGCCTAGCTATTGGGCATTCAACTCTTTTTTAAACCAATCAGAGTGACATATTTTTATACAGTGTAATTAAATATCTCCAAACAAAGGCTTGGATTTGGAAGCATTTTAAAATATTTTAAAATTTACTTTGAAAAACCATAAACAAAATCAATGTTTCTATTTTTCTTCTCTTTTCTGTTTCTTCTCTTTTTAAAAATTTGAGAATTTCAGCCGGGCGGTGGTGGCGCACGCCTTTAATCCCAGCACTCGGGAGCGGGAGGCAGAGCCAGGCCGGTCTCTGTGAGTTCGAGGCCAGCCTGGTCTCCAAAGCGAGTTCCAGGAAAGGCGCAAAGCTACACAGAGAAACCCTGTCTCGAAAAACCAAAAAAAAAAAAAAAAATTTGAGAATTTCATACATGAGTACATCATATTTGCATCATTTTTGTTGTAATATCTCCCTTTTGCTGTCTAATTTTATTAATTTGGATTTTCTCTATTTTGTCTTTTAGTTAATTTGTCTAAAGCTTTGTCAATCTTGTTGATTTTTCTCAAAGAACCAATTATTTGTTTCATTGATTCCATATATAAATATAAACATATTTGCATCATTTAAACCTTCCCTTTCCCACCCCAGCTCCACTCAAATTTGTGACCTCTTCTGTAATTATTGTTGTCATGGTTTTCTTTTCTTAATCAATATATTCTTATTCCAAATAATATAGATTGTTTCCAGGTTAACTAGATAGATGTGCTAAGGTGGATTTCATGAGAGATTTCCTTTTTGTAAAGCTGGCTACTTGCAGAAGGGGAAGCTGGGATAAGAGGTTCATCAGCAAACCACAGAACAAAGGAAAATCCTCACATTTATAGACATGAGGTAAGGGTGTCTGGGCTTAGAGGGGAAGGATGTCTGAGCTTACAAAAGAGAGATGTCTGAGTTCGGCAGATTAAGGAAAGTACCAGAAGGAACATAAGGCATGCTGGATCCTTTTTACAGAGGCAGCATCTGTAAACTATTATAAGTTGAGTTATCAAATTTCAATATAGCTCAAAATCACCTCCATTGTTTATTAAAATGTAGATCGCTCAACCCAAGGTTCTGATAGAGTGGTTCTCAAGTGGAGCCCGAGAACCTGCATTTCTGCTGAATTTCCATAAGCTGACATTCCAGGGACAACACCAAGAAATACAACACTAAACGGCAGGGTTAGACTCTCCAGACCCTGCCTCGCATTAACCTTAAGACAAAAGTGCACAGTGAGTCCAGACATTTGCACCTCCTCCTAGTCTTAGAAAGTTGTTGCTCACTGAATCTTTCATTTAAAAATTGGTAAAATCCAAGATAATCTATAAGCAACTACAGTACCCAGTCCTAATGTCCGGTCCAAGAAACTAGGACCACAGAATTGACTATCAGGTTAATCATATATGCGAATAAAAAAAATTTCCTAAAATTATTACAAAAGAGACTGAAGTTTAATTTGCAATCCTCTGAATTCTTCTGTTGTCAGACAAATTAATTATATAATAGGGAGATAGCCTTCAAACTATGATCATTGCCTATTCATACTTTTTCAAGTATTCCTTTTCAAACTTACTTTTGTTTGGTTGTTTGGATGGTTGGTTTTTGTTTTTTGAGACAGAGTTTCTCTGTGTAGCTCTGACTGTCCTGGAACTCACTCTTTAAATACCTATTTTGGGTCAAGTATTATGACACATGATCTTAGCCAAAAAGACTGAGGAACAATTATGCCAAGAGTTAGGGCAGACCCTGGGGAAAGCTCAGAACCTCTGTCTCAAGAACATTTTAGACTAACAGAAAAAGGCAACTCCAGAAAGGTAGAGATAAAACTTAAGCTGACATCAGTTTAGATACTGAGCTGTATAAATTGCTTTATTTTAAGTCTGTTGATGTTCTCTAGATACCAGTGGCAGCTTATTCTCACTTTTGATAAAGTTAGGAATCGGCGGCTCTGAGACAAAAATTGACTTGGCCATTTTCACTTGTCTGGCAAGTACTTGAGCCAAGATACAACCCAGGCCCAAAGATGCCAAAGCACATTCTTGGCCAAGCGCTGCACTCAGTTCCCACAGCGCTTGTAGTGTATAAAGGCACCACAGAGCTGAAAATGGGGAGGGCTCCTGTCCTGGAGTCTGTGAGTCTGAAGAAGAAATCAAAGTTGATGATTATGGGACATGGGAGAAGAATGCTGCCTTGGACAGACAGCAAAGAACAAAGCTGAAGTGTTCCTTTCCAAAGCACCTTACAACCATACTTCTTGATCAAATATATATGAGCTCATTCCTTCCAAGTTCCCAGTGTGTTAGCTCTAAAACTCATGCAGCTACCGCACTGCATTTCTAAATTTTCCAGTTTTGTTATTTACACATAATAGGCAGAGGGGACATACTTTAAATCTATAGCCACTTTAAATCTTCAACCAGGAGGATTCTGGAAAAGGGTTATGCCCCTGTACAAGATAATGTATATTTAATAGCACATGGCTTGTCTTTCCTGGCCTTTTGTTCTTTTTCTGTGAGAAGAAAAATTAATTCACCTGGTTTCCCCTTAGGCATACACTATCTCATCCCCAGAAGTAGAAAACAAATGTTGGTCTTAAGAGACCCTAAACTAGCCTGTGCTTCATCTACAGGTGAGGCCTCCCTGGAATTCCTGTGAACAATGAGCCTGATTCTTTCTTATGCACCAAGAACAACTGAAATGAATGTCCTTTCCAATGTCAAGGACTCTGTAAGGTTAGAAAGAAATAGGGACAAAGGCCACTCTGTGGGTTTCTTGCCGTTTGTGTGTGTGTTTAATATATATACTAAAACATAACCATAATAAAGGAGTTCTTTTTAAATGACTATGACCTTGGAGTCAGGCCCTTCAAACCAGCATGATGGAGCAATCATACCCAATCAAATCATATGCCCTCCTTTAAACATAAAAGTAACAGGATATCACAATATTAGGCTCTAATGTTGCAGAGATAGGAAATTATCAGTTGATTCAACAATTAATCAAGCAAATAAAACCAAGTACTATTGTTACCTCACTTAATAGCTAGGTAAAATCATTTGAGAATATTAAGTTAAATGTTCAAATAATTGATTCTGGAATTGTATGCAGCCAAGGAAAGCTTTGGCTAAGGTGAAAGATGAAGAGAGAGAAGAGGGGTAGGGGAGGGGGCAGTAAGAAAACACCATGACCATTCTGTGGTGTCCTGGCACTTGGTGGCATGAAGCCAAGGGGTAGGTGGGGGCACCTCTGACCCTCTCAGAGAGCAAGCAAGCTGTTTTCCACATTGAGGGTTTTGTTCAGGTGCGTGCTTGGTAGCTCTGGCCCTTGCCAGCTTGTGAGCATGCATGAAAGACACTGGTGCATCAGATTTTCCAATGCCAAAGCTTTCAAAGCCTCATCGCCACCATAACCCCCAACCGACAGCAACCAGCCAACCAGCACCACCACCAGAGCCTAGCACATGGACGGACGAGGAGCCCGGAGCTGCTGTAGGGTGGCCCTGAACTCCACAGAATGGGGAAAGCTGAAGCTGCACAGGATTGGCTGCTCCGCTGGCTGCTTTCATCTCCGGGGCATGGTCTACAGCCCCAGAGGGGCCCTTCTGAGCCTCCTTTCTCTTTTCTTTTACTGTAACTGCTTGGAAGCGGCTGTCCTGTTTGTGAGGAAACACGTGGGATGATTGTCAAGCTTTTCTTTCTCTTGGTTGTGATTCTGTTTCCTCCTACAGCACCACCGTGCAGCTTTGCACTGTATTTCACAACCTTTGTGTTAAGCCAGCGGTTCTCAACCTGTGGGTCACGACCCATTTGGGGGTT